CTTAGCCTTGGAATCAGCATCAGATGGGGTCTCAGATGAGGTTTGTCGAGTGGGATCAGAATCCAAAGAAAAATCTGTACTTGCATGTTCAGCCCCTCCATCCGTAGAGTGTGATGATGATGTTTCTACCCCCGTTGCTGGTTTCCCTGCTGCAATCTGAAACAGTGTTGGACTGAATGTCCCGGTTTGGTGCAATGCAGGCAAACTCCTCTCTTCACCCTGTTCTTCCAGTCACTTTCACTAATCCGGAGATCTACCCATGGTTTTGTGGCAGGATCTTCCGTTTTTTGTGGAATCTTTGCTCCCTTGGGAAGAAGGATAGTGTTTGTGTTGTTCTTCATCGTGGTCCTCGGTCCCTTACTTTTGAAGCAGTCTTTTTAAAGGCATTCATAGATTCATCGTCATTTATACACTCAGACTCATGGGCTGACAAAGAGCAAGATGGCCCGCAGTCTTGCTCTTGATCGTCATCAAGAGAAGATTCATCCATGAGGGACTCCTCGTCAGCCTCAAGCAGATCATGTGCTGCAAAACGGTTGCTGCCTGGAAACCGCTTGCGGCTGGTGGCCTTTTTGCCAATTGATCCACCCGGGAGGTCTTGTGCCTCCGGCTTGACTAAGTTCCGCATGAGGGTAATCCAATCTGTATATCCGCTAAGTCCGAGCCCTAGGCGATCTTTTAGGGTAGAGGGGACCGTACCTTTTATCACATCCAGACAGGACTGCGCAGTCATCTCCAGATCCGGAGTAGCAAAGAGTTTACTAACATACTGCTGCAGGCTGTGCATGGTGCCCGTCCACTTGCTGTGCTTGAGCTTGTCAAGCGTGAGTCTTGCTTTAGCTGCAGCATGTGGATCAGCATATTGTTTGATCAAGAGATCCTCAAGTGCGGCAATAGGCGTAGCCTTTAGCCATTTGTTCAGGTCTATTCTCTTATAGCCTAATTGAACAACTTGGGTTTCTAGGAAACCCCGCACGACGGGCTCCACATTGGTCCCCAGGATAGACGACTGAGTGGATGGGGGTGCCCCCAATACATCAAAGTAGGACCGCATAGAGCTGATCCAAGACTCGACGTCGTCCTTTCCGTCATACGTGGACGGAATCTGCGCCGCCTTTCTGTCGATGTAAGCAAAGTTGCCGCCTGGCCCAGCCATTGCTGGGTCCGGGCCCGGGGCTACACCAGTTCCAAAATTCTCTGCACCACCGCTTGCCGCTGCGGCAGCAGCAGCAGCAGCAGCGGGGTCTGGACCTGCTGCAGATCCGGATTGGCTGTTGGCCACACTCAAGGATGAAGAAGAAGTAGAAGAAGACACATTTAGAGGGGCAAAAACAGGCTGACACGCAGCACTAGAAGCAGGGTAGGTAGATGGAAGGGTGCTTTGGGCTGGCTGCACATTAGCAAGTTGTTGCAGCTGGTCACGGTGCTGCTG